AAAACATGTGATGATAATAATTTAAATAATCAAATATCTGATATAAATAACAATACAAACAAAACAAATAGGAAATATCGGAATAGTGATGAAATAATAATACCAAATATTAATATAAATTTAAATAATAATAATAATAATAATAATAATATTTATAATAATAATTATATTGGCAATTTTAATAATTACGAACTTAACAATGTAAATAATGTAAAGGATAATGGCGATCAAGAAGATGATGATGAAGAAGATATAGATGAAGATTATGAAGAAGAAATTGATTCTTATTATACTAGTGGGAACACAACTAGTAGTAATTCGAGTAGTAGTGGTGGTAGTAGTGGTGATAATTCACCAATCCCAATAACCAACTCATTTATAAACCACGCTCTAACTACCAACAACTATAAAAACAACTATAATGGTTTATTTATGCCAACAAACACTACCAACCCAACAAACAATAGTATTTTAAACAATAATATTTTATTTGACCAACTTTCAAATTATAACCTAAACAATGGGAATAACAATCAAAACAATAATATTATATTTGGTTTAAAAAGTTCACAAATATCTAATAATCATAATTACTTAAATAATAATAACTATAACCATAGTAATAACAATATTAAATGTAATTTTAATAGTATTAATAGTATTAATAGTATTAACAAAAATAATAATATAAACATAATAAAAAGCTACAATTTGGACGATAAGTTAAAATGTCGACATAATCAATGCCCATATACAAAGAATTTTTCGACTATTAAAACAAGAAATCGTCATGAAAAAAAAACAAAGCATTTGTGTAATAGCGATGTTGATTGTTTTGGTTGCATTAAATGGAAAGGACCACCTCAAATTCAATCTGAAGATCAAATTAAAGATCCCAAAAGAAAGAAATGTATACACAACGGCTGCACTTTTTATGCAATTAAAAAAAACTATGGACACCACTTAAGATGTTGCCATCACGTTGAACATAAAAACTCTATTAGCAAAGTAGGCAGGCAAACTATATTTGATCCAACATGCCTTGGTTGCAAATGGGTAATGCAAATGGATGAAATTAATAAATTAAGATTTAACCCAAACAAACCCAATCCATCAAATGAAAATACTCCTATTTTCCACACTCAACCCAATCCAAAGTTAATAAACTCTTCAAATTTATTTAAAAAACATAAAAAAAATACAAATAATATTTTCAATTACAACAACAGCAACAACAACAACATTAACAACAATAACAACAATACCATCAATAATAATAAATCAAATAACAATAGTGATGAAGATGATGAAGATGACTACAACTATGAAGATTTTGATTATTATAATGGGATGGATGCTGATGACAATTATGACGATGATTGTTAACACATATATACTACAACTACTATCCATTTTAATTTTTAAAAACAAAAAACAAAAGAATATTTTCGTATAAATATGTTCTTTTAATTTTTTAGTTGTTTTTTTTTTCTTTTAGTATCAAAAAATAACAATTTACAATATTTTATTTTAAATAAATATTTAAAAAAACTATTATTTACTTTTTTTTCTAATACATTAATAATACTACTATTATTTTTACTGTTTATTTATTTTTATTTTTTATTTTTTTGATCGATTTTTATTTTACTTTTTCTTTTTTTTCCAAAACCTGTTTTTGATTTTTATCTCGATGTTATATTATACCATTTCTTGTTTTATTATTATTGTTATTATTATTTTTATTATTATTCATATTTACTATATATTATTATTTTAAAGTTTTTTGAGGATTGTTTCAGCATCGGTATGATTCCATTCATCAACATTTTTCTCAACACTTTCAAAAACAATTCTACCATTATCAACAATTAAAGCAAATCTTTTATATTCTGGTACTGGTGAATCTGTACCTTGATTTAAATTTTCATTTTCACATAATGCATTATCTTCTGCAAATTTACTAGCTGGATCTTGTAAGAAACCAATCTAAAAAAAAATTTTAAAGTTAATAAACTATTAAAATAATTACACCATTTTATTGTAAATTATTTATTGTTATTTTTATTTATTGTTATTTTTATTTATTATTTTTACTTACAGTTCTTTTTGGATCTAAACTCATTGATTTGGCTCTTAAAATTGGGACATCTGAGTTTTGTAAACAAATAATACTATCAGCTTTACCATAGATTTTACCTGAACTTTTAACAAATGATGGGATCTATTTAAAAAAATGATTAATACTTTGAAAATATTTTAAAAAAAAAAAAGTGTGGTGGGTTTTAAAGATAAATGATTATCATAGTTTTTAAATTATAATTATAATTATAATTATAACCTTCACCATTATATATATTAAACTTACGTGATGGAAAGTGTCAGTTGGGTTATCGCCTGGGATACCAAAAACTACAACCTTTTTATTATCAAAAATATCTCTTGATGAGTGTGAGTTACCATATTGATCTCTGAAAACATAATCTGAGGTAATAAGATTGCCTGAGACAAATGATCTAATATTTTGTGTTAAGGTTTTGCTAAATAATTGAGATCTGCTAATGTGTTGCATTTTCTATATAAGTATGATGTTGATTCAAATGAATTTTAATTCGAACAAAAAAAAAATAAAATTTTTTAAAAAAAAAAAAATTTCAAAAAAAAAAAAAAAATAAAAAAATTATTTTTTTAAAAAAAAAAAAAAAAAGATTTTAAAGGTGTATAAAAAAGAAATAATAATAATAATAATAAATTATTGATTTAAAACTATATTTACCAGTATAAAACCATTTTACAGAATTAATTTGTTTATTACGTATTGTATTATCTTTTTATTAAAATTTTAGTATTTTTATTTTAAATAGTTATTTATTATCTATTTGTGGGTTTTATTACTTTATTGTATTATATTATTCGAATAATAATAATTTTTTATTTTTTTTATTTTTATTTTTATTTTTTTTTTTTAATTTTATTTTTAAATTTTATTTTTATTTTTTTTAAATTTTTCTATTTTAAAATTTTTTCATATGAACACTACAGCAACATGGATTATACTTTAATTATCGTTTCGCCAAAAACTCACGAAAGTCAACACAAAGATATCGTTGATGAATTAAAAAATTCTCTTTGGAAAGGTTTTGAATTAGAAATCACCAATGTATGTATAAAAAACAAAAAAAATAAAAATATAAAAAAAAAAGATATTTATTAACAATTTATTTACCGACAGAATGACAATTTAAACGAAAATGATTTTAAAGTTTCGAGACATTCAATTAAAAGCGACAAAGAGTATAAAGAATTAAATCAAATGTTACACAAATATTTTGATGATAAAAAAGTGGATTTCTATTTCCACACAAACGAACATTTCAATAACGAAAGAAAATTAGCAGTATTTGATATGGACTCTTGTATTATAAAAAACGAATGTATTGACGAAATGGCAGAACTGATGGGTGTAAGTGACCGTGTATCTGATATCACTGCAAGAGCTATGGCCGGTGAATTAGATTTTAATGCTGCACTAAAAGAACGTTTATTATTATTAAAAGGTATGGATATCCCTCAATTAAAAAAGGTTTGGGAAAGAATCGAGTTAAATAATGGCTCATATAGTTTAATTCAAGCATTAAAGCATTTTGGTTATAAAACTGCTTTGGTTTCTGGAGGCTTTAGTTATTTTGCTTTTAGAGTTGCATCAAGACTAGAAATGGACTATGCTGTCTCAAACACTGTAACTATCACTATATCTATTTAAATAATAGTTTTAAATACTAATAATAATTTTTTTCTATTAGTTGGAATTTGACAGCGACAATAAATTAACAGGTAATGTTATAGGTGATATTATCAATGCAGAAATGAAAAAAAAGATTACAATTTTATTGAGCGATTTAGAAAACATCAAACAACACCAAACAATCTCAATGGGTGATGGTTCAAATGATAAACTAATGATTCAATATAGTAATTTGGGTATTGCATTCCATGGCAAGCCAATTTTAAGACAAGCAACTCCTTTCCAAATTAACCATGGTCCATTATCAACAGCATGTTTTTATTTACCAAATATTTATAATGACAAAAATAGTTGCAACACAATTTACCCAATTATCTCAACAAAAAAATATATTTATGACATCTCAATTCATGAGCTTTCAGAAAATCAAGCTTTAGCAAACAAATATAGTAATTTCAGAACATTACACCTTTAAAAAAAAAAAATCAAATTGATCAAAAAAAAAAAATTAAATTATTTTTATATTTTAAAAACTAAATAAAATTATATAATATTACTTAATATTATAGCAATAATAACAAAACATTAATTGTTTTATTGTTTTATTTATTTTTACCTCTTTTTTTTTTTATTTATAATAATAATTTTTTTTAATTTTTATTTTTTTATTTTTTTTAATTTTTTTTAAAATTATTTTTATAATTTTTTTTAATTAATTTTTTTTATGATCAAAAATTATTGTCATATTACAACACAAAAACTTTGTTTACCCCACTTTTTTTTTTTTTATTATTGATATAATTTTTTTTTCTATGTTTTACTTTATTTATACTTTTTTATAAAAAAGTATACTTATAAAATGGGGAAAGTTAATAATTATGGTAATAATATTAGTAAAATAAATAAAAACCTAAATATTACCAATTCTACAAAAACCACAATTCATTTTAAAAATAATAAAAGTAGTTTTCCATTAGCAAATTCATATTACATATCTATATTGTTTCGTTTTATAGTTGGAACATTAGCAATAGGTTATATTCATCCAGATGAGTATTTTCAAAGTCCCGAAATTACATCATCATTTATATTTAATTACAAAATTTTAAAACCATGGGAGTTTTATGAAGATAACCCATGTAGGTCAATATTTATACCGTAAATATCAACAGAAAAATAAACAAAAAAAAAAGCAATATATTAATTTATTTTATATATAGATTATTTAATTCAGGTATACCATTTTATATATTAAAATCAATTCAAAAATTAATAAATGTTACTTTGGGTAATAATCAGTTTTCAATCATTAATGGAAATACGTTAATATTTGCACCAAGATTTTTTATGGTGTGTTTATCATTTTTATTAGACTATTATATGGTGGTGATATGCAAGAGGTTCAATCTATCATACAGAAAAGCGTTATCGATTCTATCATCATGTTGGCTTATAATTATATTCCATTCAAGAACTTTTTCAAATACAATCGAGTCATTGTTGGTAGCGACCCTTTTAACTCTTATTATTACATATCGTGATAATGAAACTGGAAAAGTAAAAATTAATATCATTAGGGATTGGTTAATTGGATTCATAATTGCATGTGGGATTTTTTCAAGATTTACATTTATATTTTTTGCAGCACCAATGGGAGTCTATTTATTCTATTTATATTTAACAAGATCAAAATCAATTTTTACAACTTTGGTATCAATTATTTTCATTTCCGCAGGTTTCATATCTACAAGTTTTTTATTTGTTTTACTTGATTCAGTTTATTTCAAATATTTAAATGTTCCCCTTTTATCATCTTTTTCAAGAAATCCACTCGAAATTATTTTTCAAATTTCTGACGTTTATCAAAACCCCTCATTAATACCCAAAGAATCATTAGAACTTTTAACCGACTCTAATTATCTATTATCACTGATTAAGGTAATTATATTAAATTTTAAATAATTTATAAAAAAAACCCTTGTTTATTAACATTTTCATTTATTATAGAACAACTTAACTTTTACCCCAATTAATAGTTTAGTATATAATATGAATCCAAAGAACTTGGCAGAACACGGTATTCACAACAGGTTAACACATATTTTTGCAAACCTACCAATGATGATTGGACCATTAATCATATTATTAATTGTCGAGGTGTTTAGTATTAACAGCTCCAGCAACACAGGAAACAGTAAAGATAGTAATGGAAATGGGAATACAAACGGATTTAACCATCACAAAAATACTAATAGTAGCCACAGAAAGGAATTATTTCCTCGATCAATTAGAAACTTATTATTGGCAGTAGTTTTATCAGGTATAATATTTTTATCAATGGCACCGCATCAAGAGGCTAGATTTTTACTACCATTGTTTTTCCCATTGGCATTGCTCACATATCGTTATTTTTACTTCAACAAAAAGAGATCAAAGGTATTATTAATTATATGGATTATATTTAATATGTTTCTTACAATTTTCTTTGGTTTCATTCATCAAGCTGGTGTTACACCCTCATTAACTTTTTTAAATACACATATAGTAAAGAATAGTAATAACAATAGTAATAATAACTTTAATATCAATAATGACAGCAATAATGAAAATAGTTTAAATAATCTAATTAATAATAGTAACAATAATATAACAATAATATACTATCATACATATATGCCTCCAAGATATTTATTAGGGATTTCAAAAAACAATCATAAAATCAATGTTTATGATTTATTAGGTGGTGAAATTAACGATTTGGTTAATTTTGTAGAAGGCTTAAAAAACTCAAAAATTTATATCCTCTCACCAACCAAAACAATTTTATATCAACAATACAAAGGAAAAACATGTCAGCTTACAGATTCATTTTGGCCACATTTAACTACAGAGGATATGCCCAAATCTTTGGATGAACTAAGACTATTTATGTTCGAATGTATTGATATTTAAAATAAAACTATAAAATAAAAAATAAATAAAAAAAGTAAAATAAAAAAATAAAAGAGTATTTTTTTAAAAAAAATAAAAATTATTTAATATTTAAATAATTTTATATAGTTTTATTAAAGAAAAAAAAAGGTCTATTTAAAAAAAGGTTATTTAAAAAAAAAAAAATTATTATTGTTTTTATCTTTTTTTAATAGTTTTTAAAAAAAGAATCGATTTCTTGTTGGTAATATATCCAAAATGCTTGATTGGATAGTGAGAGTTTAGAATTTTTGTTATTATTTTTTTGTGTATTTGCAACTAATTGTTCGAATGGTGATGGTTCATCAAGACTTTGATATCTGGAAATAAGGGTACCAATTTGATTTAAATTTAAACCAGACTCGACGGCTTTCTTTACAAAGAGGGTTGTTAATTTGAGAGTTTCTAAACATTCAGTTCTTAGTTTTGGAAGCTTGGCATGTAAGGAGTTTATAACTTGATCAATGTCAATTGATTGGATCATTTGCTTAGCTTCATTGCTAAATGGAATTTTAGATTGTGGGAAATTAATCCAATCAAACCAAGCATCAGACAATTGGTCACTTGATGGTAAACAAAGACTATGGTCAATTGGTACTAATTCTAATGGGCCTGCACCATCTTCTTTTGCAACTACTAAGAGGTTTCCACTATGACGATCGCAATTTAATACAAGACTATCTAATAAACCAATACGATGAATATCTTGAACTGAAAATTTTGAACAGCCAACTTCATCAGCAGTATCTTCATATACAATGTATTCTTGAAGTGATCCAATTTTTTTTACCATTAATGATTCTTTGCTACATTCATCAACAATTTCGTCTATGCTTTCTGATGAAGAGGCACCATTTTTGTTGTTCCAAATTGGATGTTGAACTTCGACTAGTGTAGTAACTGGTACACCAAAAAATCCATTGTTCATTTGATCAAATAAATACACAGCAACCTCTTTAAAAACACCTTCTCCTGGAAGAGTACCAGCTTTCATTCCAACAATAGAATGGTTTGGGCCAATAAGACCATTTTCTTCATCAATTGGTTTGAATACTGAAGTTGGATGGGTATCTTTTTCACCTTGAATAAAGTAAACACCACCTCCTACTCCATCCTGACACTTTTTTGGGGTACTTCCTGATAAACGTTTACCTGACAATTCCATTAATTCAATTTGACGCTTGTCTATTTGACTTGAAAGCCATGTGCTACCAGAACGTTTTAAAGATTTATTTGACTTTGGTTTTTGTTCTGCATCTTGTTGTTCTGACTTTTCTTTTGGTTGTTCCTTTGAATTATCTTTATTATATTTTGTATCTCTTCTTTGGAAGATTGGTGAACGAATAACTCTATTAGCTTCCTCTGCTGGAAGATAAAGAGGGGTTGGTGCCATTGAAATCATTTTTTAATTATTATATCTGTTATTTAAAACAAATTGGAAAAAACGAATAAAAAAAAACTGATTTATATATTGAATTATATCTGGGGGGTAGGGAAATGTTTATTTGTTTGATTGAATGGGTGAATGTTTTTTTTTTTTTTTTTTTTTTTTTATGTACAATTTTACAACTATTTAAACAAAAGAGATTTTTTAAAGAAAAAACATTAAATTTTATTTACAAAGTATATGTGAAAAAAAGGAAATTATTATTAATTATACAATAGGGTGATTTTTATTAAAAAATATATGAAAATACAACAAAAAACTTTTATTTATATGACTATTTGATTTTTAATTAAAAAAATAAAAATAAAAAAAAACTTAAAACATATTATTATTATAAAAAAACTAAACAATTATGGAAATTATTATTATTTTTAAAAAATTATAAAACTAAAAAAAATATATTTTTTTTTTTCTATAGTTATTTATATTAAAATTTTTAAAGGAAAGAACTAAAACATCCTATTAATAGAAAAGAGATATACATATAATAAAAATTTTAAAAAATTATTCTTTTTGATTAAATTGTGATTAAATCAAAAAAAAAAAAGAAAAGAAAACAAAAAAATATTAAAAAAAAATTATTACTATACAATAATAAAATTTTAAATGTTATTATAGTGACAATAATTAATATTGACTGTCTGCTAATATAATTAATGTTATTAATGTTATATATAGCCTGATAATGATGAGGGATGTGGTGACACAAATAATAAAAAAAAAAATAGAAATTATGTGTTGTGTGTTGAGAATTTTATATGAGAGCAGAGTGTGAGTATTGAAATTAAATTATTATTGGGTTACGGATAAATAATAATGATATTGTTATTTTTCAATAATGACAGGATAATAAAAAGTAACAATACAATATCACACAATAAAAAATAGATCTTTTGGAGTGGTAGTAGTTACTGATGCAGTTGGTTTTGTAAACTACTATTAATATCTTATTTTTTGTTGGGATGTGTGAAG